TTTGTTCCATTGTGCATGGGGTCACCATGAGTCCAGGGCTGACTCAACAGCTGTTAACAACAACAACTCCCTCGGTCACTCTCCCCTGGGTGTGCTCCTGTCCATCAAGTCCCCTCTTGAAGTGAGGCCCCCCTGGCCTAATGAAATCATAAAAATAGCTCCCATCTGTTCAGCTCCTACTATATACATGCTAGGTCCTCTGCTAGACTCTTGCCCATTAATAGTTAATAATTTTTGAGGATCTACTATATCAAGTACTTACTGGGTTCCGTATTAATATTGTTATTAATTATTAATAAAAACAAGAGAATATAAGCTCCATGGGCACAAGGACTTTGCCTATTTTGTTCACTGCTGTACTCCAATCCCCAGAACAGTCGCTGCCTGAATGGATAAGTTATTATTATATTTATAATTATTAATATTAGTATAACTAACATTTAGCACGCTCTTACTATATGCCAGGCGCTGATTCTATATTCTAGGCATATTTTGGTCTCATTAGGAGGAAGATGTTATTGAGTCTTTCACACATACACATGTATACATACACAAAGGAAACTGAGACTCCTGAGTGGTTAAATATCTTGCCTAAGGCCTCAGGCCAGCAAGCCACAGAGGTAGGATTCAGGGGTTAGGACCCAGGTTTCAGAATTCCAAGGACTGCACTCCACGCAATGGACAACACAGCCTTCCCGAGGAAGAACTTCACAAAGCACTCAGAAAGTTGTGTGAGTGGGCAGGAAAGGGGTAAAGGAGCTTCAGGTTACGCAACTGCAAAGTAATAGCAGCAGTGAAGTTCCGTTGAAGCGCTATTTATAGGACAGTGAGTTCAGAGTCCCTAGGAAAGAGAGCCAGGAGTCGCTCCAGACCTTGGCCAGGGGATGGCAGCCTTTGCTGCTGCAGCCACATGGCCCCCAGAGTCTTGTTGTCATAGAAGCGCCCACGACCAGTGAGAATTCTCAGTGGGGCCCCTGCATGGAACCTCCACCAGGCAGACCCTCCTTAAACACTGTGTAGAGTTCAGCTCCCCAAGCATCTGGGGTCACTGGAGCTGAGGGCACTTTATTGCAAGCACCAAGCCAGGCGCACCACATGGAGCTTCGCTTTTAATCCTGTCAACAGCCCTATGAAGTAGATCATATTCTCCCCATTTCACAGATGAGGAGATGGACACTCAGTAAAATTAACTTGCCCAGGACCACAGATTGGTAAACAGCAGCACTGGATTCAGGCCAGTGTGCGTGACTCAGAGCTCAGGAGAAGCAGGGACAGAAAAACAACTCACTCTGACCAGAGCAGGTAAGACCCCTTGAACTACAGAGACCTACTGAGAGGACCATGAGCAAGTCCGTAAAATCCTGAGACGGCCAGATGGGGCTCCTGGGAGCTTGAAAAGACACTCGTAATTAGCAGGTGGAGCACCTCCCAGCAACACCTCACACCCTCATCTTGTGAAGTCAGTTTTATCAAATCCACATTCCAAAGGAGGAAACCAGGTCTGGGAGATGTTAAGTGACTTGCCCAAGGAGGTAAATAGTGGAGTCAGACCTTATTATACCAAAGTCCCTCTTCTCCCCCCACCCCTTCCCTCCCCCTTAAAGTTTAAAGGAAGATTCAGGACAAGCAAAAGGAGTATGACTTTTCAAAGACAGGATAAACTTGGTGGAATGCTTTTATGAACATCAGACTGCATTATGGGTCGCGGCTCTTAATGGATTCAGGTGAATTGCGGTGTTCAGAGAACCCTCTTAGAGAAATCCTTCCCAATAGCTAGCCCCTAAGGGCCCCTAGATGAGGTCCCTGGGTGGTGCATGAGGTTTGGGATCGGCTGCTAACCGGAAGGTTGACAGTTCAAACCCACCCAGTGGCATCACGGAAGAAAGACCTGGCGATTTGCTTCTGTAAAGAGTGCAGCCAAGAAAACCCTATGGAACTCTGTTCTGCTCTGTAACACATGGGGTCACCGTGACCAGAATCAACTCGACAGCAATGAGTTTGGGTCTTAGTTTTTTGGGTTTTTTTTTTTTAGATTTTTTTAAAATTTATCTTGTTGTTGGGAATGCACACAGCAAAACATATACCAATTCAAGTGTTTCTACATGTACAATTCAGGACATTGATTACATTCTTTGAGTTGTGGAACCATTCTCACCCTCCTTTTCTGAGTTGTTCCTCCCCATTAACATAAAATCACTGCCCCCTACTGTTCCTATCTAATCTTTTGAGTTGCTGTTGTCACTTTGATCCCATATAGATAAGAGGACTTCCAACCTGTTCCAGTTTGAACCCCTGGTGAGAATTTGCATTTCTAACAAGTTCCCAGGCTATGCTAATACTGCTGATTCAGGACCAATTCCAAGAACCACTACCAGAGTTCCCAAAATTTATTATACATAAGAATCACATGGTGATCTTGTTAAAATGTAGATTCTGATTCAGTATATCTGGGGATGGAAATGCAAATTCTCAGCAGGGCTTCAAACCAAATGAACTGGTTTGAAGCCCTGATAGTTCTTAAAAGAGCATAACGCTCAAGGTAGACATTTTTTACTAGTTTAGCTAAACTATTGTTTGGTTTCAAGAAGATTTCAGGGGTTATTTCTGGTTTCAGATTTAAAGATTATCTCCAGGTAATAGTTTCAGGGGTTCATACAGCCCCCATAGCCCCAGAAATTCTGGAGTCCATGAGCATGTTAAATTCTGTTCTGCATTTTCCCCCTTTTGATCAGGATTAGCAGGCCCAAAAGAAGCCCTGGTGGCACAGTGGTTAAATACTCAGTTGTTAACCGAAAGGTCAGTGGTTCAAACCCACCAGCCACTCTGAGGGAGAAAGATGTGACTGTCTACTTCCATAAAGATTACAGCCTTGGAAACCCTATGGGGCAGTTCTACTCTGTCCTATAGGATCACTATGAGTCGGAATCAACTCAACAGTAATGGGAAAAGGAGACAAAAGCAGGCCCAAAGTTTGAACCTGGTGGCTTAACCCTTGATGGTTTTTCCACGTCCCCCTCAGCCGTTGTCCAGGTATGCTGTCAGACGTACAAAGGTGGGAGCACCTTCCTTCTCATCAGACCCTACGGCGAAGGGAACATGGGCTCTCAGATGGACCTGCCACTCTTGGGCAGAAAGGAAGCTGAACAAAGTAGAATTGTTGAGAACGGGGAAATGCAGCAGAGAGTAGGCTACTTCCCCTGGGACCAAGAGAGGAATTCGTTAAGAGCTCCAGTTAACAGCAGCATCACTGGAGGCAGGGACCCTCCAGTGGGGAACCAGGTCTTTCTTCAGTTCAACGCACTAATACTTGCCTCCTGTTCTTCATGCTCTCTTGCCATGCGATCTGGGTAGAGACAGCATAGCTGCCCTGTGCCTCAGTTTCCCCACTTGTGAGACAGGAATAGTTATATCACCCCCTCCCCAGGCTCTCCTTGAAGTTAAGAGCCATTCGGAACACAGAGGCTGATTTCTTAAATGACTGGCAGCTGAACAGCCGGCTGGCAGCAGGATAATGACAGGCCACTGGACGCCTCCCGTCTTCCCCAGGCCCTGCCCTGGAGCCATTATGTGCCAGGACGGGGCCCAACGCACTCGGCTCAAATGGCTGACAGGTCAGCACCTGTGTGGCTTAGAACAAGGAGAAATGGTTTCTAACGCAGCAGCTGAGGCTGAGGTTAGACCTCCTAAGGGAAAAGAATGGCTGTAAGGACGTAGGAACACAAGGCAGAGCTAGAGAGAATGTTTCTGAGCCTCCTTCATAGGGGAGCTTGGATCCCACCTCTGCGTGGCCCGGGCTGGGGGAGATGTGCCCGGAGGAGGGCAACAGTCCAAAGGATACTTGGAAGACGGCGTAACTGGTCATCTCCCGAGAACCTTCTGTGCACTCAGGGCTGCTGCTCCACAGCCAGGCTCCTCTCAGGGGACTCTCCTGCCCTCCTGCTGTGCCCTATGGTCTTCCTGCCCCCTAAGCCCCCTCTCCTTGCCTTACCTGTCATGGTTGAGGCACCCAAGAGAGAGGCTCCTGGCTCCGGCCTAGCAAATGCATCAAACTGCCCTACTGCTACAGGTGGAATGGGTGCAGCTTCTTGCGGCGGGCTGGGCTGGGGGGCTGCACGGTCAAGGGCCAGAGAGCAGTGTGAGGCCCTGCCCCCTCAGAGCTCCCCCAGCACCTGAGCCAGCCAGTGGTGGAGCCCCACTCCTCAAGTTGACTGAGCAGCCTCTGGGTCTCCTGGCTCACTCAGAGAACTTGCCGCACTCTCTCCCCTGGGCTTTCCCCCACTGCCTTGTCACTGGTCTTGGCAACCTAGCTGCCACCTGCCAGGGCCACCAAGGACCTGTTTATCCCATCACCTAGCAACAGCAGCATCTCTGGCTCCAGAGTTTCCCTCTGAGACCACGGGAAGCCAGGGCCAGGCCCCCACAAGAGCCAGAAGCTGCCACTGCTCAGGGCAGGGCCAGAAAGCCCCCTTCACGTACCCGTACCTTTCTCCCTTCTTCTGTACCCCAGCCATCCCAGCTCTGCCCCTGCTGACTATTGTCCAGAGCAAGGAAATGCAGAATCAGCATTGCAGAGAAGAAGAGTAAAATGAGGCCCCAGGGGTAGGCCTCTGGGCAAGGAAAGCAGACAAACGAGCTGGCCGGCCACTCTGTGCCTCTGGCCTCTGAGATGCCGCTTCCACTTGTCTCATTGTTAGCCTGATAAAACACTTGCCCCTTTCATTGTGTAGTTGTTAACCCTTTTATCTGCTTCACCATCTCCCAAAAAGAGTTCCCAATTACCAACAGGGCCATCGAGGTTCAGAGAGGTTGAGGGATGTGCCCACACCATACAGCAAGTCAGAAGGCAAGGCGAGATGAGAACTCATTCTCTGCAGCCTGGTTCTTTGTGGGTTTCTCTGCAGCACACTTAATCCTCACCCTATTTAAGAGCAAGTACTTGCCTATGTCTTAGTACATCATCTCTGAGCTAGAAGGGAATCAGGACCCTGAGATGTTCACTTGCGATTTGGAGCCGAGGTGAACCCAAACAAGAGTTTCTCCAGGAACTAAAACATAGCAGGGGCCGAGGGCGACGGGTTAATGAAGGACGGGGAGGCAGGAGAGAACGGTGCAAGTCTAAAGGAAGAGAGGTACCACGTGGGAGCCTTGGTGGCGCAGTGGATAAGCCTTCGGCTGCTAACAGTAAGATCGTAGTTCGAATCCACCAGCCGCTCCTTGGGAAAAAGATGCAGCAGTTTGCTTCTGTAAAGATTTACAGCCTTGGATAACCCTATGGGGCGATTCTACTCTGTCCTATGAGGTCTCTATGAGTCAGAATCGACTCGACGGCAGTGGGTTTGGGTTGGTTTTGGTTTTAAGTGCCAAGCACTGCAGTAGGCACTTTCCTCCATACTCTCTTTACGGGAAGTCTTCTTACCCCACCCAGTTCATGGACCACTTGGCAGAGCCAGGAACTGAGCAAAGGTCTATCTGCCTTCAGAGGGCAGAGGTGGAAGGAAGGACTGGGGATGTGCTAGGGGCATCTCTGAATGTCAATTGCATGTTAATTATATACAAATAGACTATATTGAAGGAGAGTAAACAATCAAAAGGACCCAGCACCAGCTAATGGCACTACTCCAATTGGTTCCTAAAATAGTGGGGACATGAACAACAGTCCACCGAGCCCAAAAGCCTAGCCCCAAGAGCTGGTTCTGTTACTTACTTGCTATGAGGCCATAAGCGGCCGTGT